ACAAGAACGTCGAATCTGAATCACTTGAAAAAAACACGGGGGTGCTTAACTTTTTTCCAGGTGTATAGAATCCTTTTGTATATAACAGAAAGGTTGATAATGATATAGTTTTTGAGAAAACACTGATGATCTTTTATTAACACTATCCATTAAACAGTTATTGACAACAACCTTAGTGAACGTTAGTGAAAACGTTCAGACAAGAACAATGAGATGAGCTCTTTGAAGGAGTTGAACTTCATCAAACCTATCTACTTTCACAAGTGATAATATGTATGTATATTAAATACTTTCACCAGAAAAGTATGAGTTATGCTTTATAGAAGTTTCTGAAGATTATGAAATCATTATGGAAGTTAAGAAGAAGAAGACTGGAAGTACACAAACATTCTGCAAACAAATATGTACATATAAAGTTTCTGGATTAATAACAAGAATGTATATTTGTAAGATTTGAGTATTCAGAGCCAGTACTACCGAAAATTTTTTACATAAAACGATTGTCAGTTAACTTAATATATGTAAATGAGTACACCCCTTAAATAAAATTTAAAAAAGTTATTTCTAAATCATTTTGTATAATATAGTACTATAGATGCAAGAGTCACAATTAAACATGAACTACTAACACATTAACTCACGTTACAAGCTTATGCTGCATAATTTTTCTTGATATTCATTCATCAAAAGGAAAAATTAGGTGTATGCGTGTGCGTACAAGAACCATTATTACCTACGTACTACATGATTTATAACTTATAAAATGTTCCCCAAATTTTATGTTCCAAAAACAATTAAGCCACCCTTTTTCTTTCCAACTTATTTTTAAAAATTGGACGATTTACAATATTTCATATATGATCATTTTAACATGCTAATTATACAAAATACTATACAGTATTCATTTAGCCTTCTCAACATGAAATTAGCATTGTATTGAACTACTTACATCGTATCATAACACAAGTGTCATTAGTTTTCAAACTATTCTGATGTAGTTTATTAATCCAATTCATTCAGTTAAATGGAAACCTAGTGTTATAAATGTAGGTTATTGTCAGTGTTAGCCATCTTCAGAGAGCACATTCCATTTATAGACTAAAAATTACAAACACAACCATCACATACCTCTTCATTGAGATTGCTGACCAACAGAACACACCCTCCAAATGACTGCTGACTAGGAAGCCTAACACCACCTAGGCCTAAGGTCGCACTGGTAGCATGAGATAGGGCAAATGCCCCTAAAGGAAAGCCTTGAGTTAAGAAAAGAAACAAACAAAAAACACTAGTATATCCAAGTAATGATGGTCCAGTGAAAAAATAAAATGTGAAATTGTTAAATATTTTGATGAAATATTAGAGAAATATTATTTTGTCAGTTATTAAAGTCACACGTAAAAATGTGGAAATCGTACACACGCTATTTTCACATGTATATTACTATGCCAATGATAATGTAAATTTTGCAGGGACTGTATCACAATGGTTTTTGCATCTACTTAAATGTAAAAATTAAAGTATTGTTGTAATACTTTGTAACACAAAACAAACATAATAGTAAAAAGTTCTGCCATGTTTCAGGCAGATACATGACAAAACTCACTGAATTGATCACATTTGGTATTGGTGCTTAATTTAAGCAAATTTATCCACAATTTAACTGTAAAACTCCTTTGTTTACCAAACAGAACTAGATTTGTACCACTTTATTCAAGAAAAAAATAAAAATAAAATAGCTCCCTCTAAAAGTATAACAAATAAACATGCTTAGATATAAAAAGATATATCATTTCATAAAATAAAATTTTGATGTTAGAAACTAAGATATTTCAATATGTGACACACAAATACTGTTTATTGTGCACACATATGTGAACAACAGAGAGAACTATTTTCTTTTATGTTGCAATAGGCATTCCTTTTTTATTATTCTAATCTATAATGCCAACAAAACTCAATTTATGTTCTAGGACTAGACACGGGAATACCTTCACTTTCAAATTACTCTCAGGTATGCTATCTAGTATGAATATTTAACTACAAATACTCATCTGTGCACCACAGACAAGAGTAATGAACAAATAAAACAGATGAAATTGCAAAAGTAAGAAAACAACCATACTTTAAAGTAATAAAAATTATAAAAATACACAAAGGTTTAAAATTTTTTACATACTTTTAAAGAAAAACAAAAAAACAACAACAATTAGTTAGTAAATCATTTGATATATACACTAAGCAGACAGTTATGGAAAACAAAAATGGCAAACAGCATACCTCCAGCAGCACTATAGGCAGCTGTTAGTGGCGATCCAAGGCTGGGCAGACCTGTGAAAGGGGATCCCATCATGCCCATAGCACCTTGTTCAGGATAACAAACCGTACATTCATATATAAGCAAGATGCAACTAAATCTTTTTGTTGTTTTCAGTTGTTGAATAAAACCTATAAACTATTTCATGCAAAAAAACCTTGTATTTTAATTATAATATTTTATGAAAAATAAAGACTTTTCATTGCTGGGTAAATGACAGGAACAGAAAAAAAAATTCTACTGGTAAAATAAAACCAACTATTTAAAACTATAAGAAAAATAGAATTTTGTGTTTGTCTTAAGTGCAAATCTACACAATGGACTACACTGTTAACTTTAGGGGGAAGTTACAACACAAGAGGTTCATACACATAATGAATTTATTAACAAAAACAAAATTAGTCACAAAAAAAAGTTACACAACTGAAAATCACATACTGGAATGGAAAAACTAATCAACAAACACCTAAAAGGATCTTATCATATCAATAGCACCATACTAATTCACTCATTTTTTTAACTCCAATTTTTATCTGCAGCTAGAAACAGAAAGTGACAAAACCATTTAGAGTTTAAACAGGCAATGTAATTACAAAGCATTTACTCACTAATGAAACAATCAATAAGTCAACTTCATGGCAGTAACATGCAATTTACTATATAGGTGTACTATGTTCACACAAGATGACCCAATTTTTTCACAAAAACAAAGAAAGAAAAATGATCATTGTTTTAGAAGATCAATATTTGTTTTTCATCACAAACACATATGTAACTCATTCTCACCTCCAATCCCAAGACTGTCTAATCCCTGATCTCCTGTGGGTAAAGTAGGATTGGTAAAATCTCTGCTCTTGTCATTGTTGTATTTCACATTCAAATTTGTCAACTTGGAATAATCTATTCTTAACGTGCAACAAGAATTGTAGATGTTCTGCCCATCCAACGACTGTAGGATACAGAAATGTATTAAATTTAATTGTAAACATTTTTTGCTAAATGCACTTTAATTTACTTTTAAATAGAAAACTATGATAACTGACATGTTTCACTACTTGAAATTGACTCAATGAAATACAGAGCACACCTATTTTTTATCTCTATCTTGAGGACCTCATATGTATAACTAGTGCCATCATTTAAAATTCAAAGAATCTGATTCAAATTATTCAAAAAAGAAGTTGTGATTTTAAGACCTAAGTTAGAAATTTCTCATTATTTCACACTTGCACAATTTATCCTGGATCTACATTTCATGAAATACTGAAGTATGTATACTCAATATTCTTAAAGAATAACTGGCAAAATTAGTGACTAAAAGTCAGTAAGATTTGGTTTTCAAGTAGTATTTACTTGAAATACATAGAAAAATGGAATTTTTTTACATCCATTTCATGTCAATGGGGTCAACAGAAACAAGATGGCCAACATTTAGATTCTGTCCAAAGAGTGCTATTGTGTGTATGCTGGTTTGTTTGACCACTTTGACTATAAGAGAATTTTATGTAAATTATTATTCTATTTGTATATTTTGACTTTTTTATCAAATTTATGTCTGGCAAAAAATGGATGGTCTAATATAAAAAAAAATTAAAAAAATTGGACCATTTACCATAAACTCAAATCCATAGTTTTGAGTGTTCAAGCTAGTTTTTAACAGAAAAACATCTTCACACAGTACTTCATGACATATCAAAATATCTAAGCAATCCAAGTTAAAATGGGATTTAAATAAGAGGTTTCAAGGTCAAGAAACCTATATGAGCACAATGAGACAAATAATCGAATACTGTGAATATTTTGTACTGTTGTAAGAGGGGAGTTCTGACATTTAAGTTTTTGCATGTATAATAATTTGTTTTATTATTGTTACAAGTTCTATAATGCTTTCACTTCACTTCATCTGGGGATACAGAATTACTAGTCTAATATAAAGAGGGTTTGAGTAAGAAATAATGGCAAGAGAAATAACTCCACTACAGTGTTATCAGGATACGTTCTGTACAACATACTAAAAATATGTTGTACTCCAAGTTGACTTTGGGAATTATATGGATCATAGATCAATGTGCATTGGTCACATGGCAAAAATCAACAAGAATGATATTCTGACTGATATATTTCAATAATTCAATGATGCACTGTCATTAAAGTTTTGTTTTTACCAATATAATCCAGCAATTAAAGGCTTAAGATTGTTTTTCTATATTTTAGTTTATAAGTTGAAGATGTTTAACAACATACTAAAGATTAGACAAAATTGGATCAATGAAAAAGAGGTTTTATGGGTAGTCAACTATTTGGGATGTACAAAATCCCTTGACTTTTACAGACCACAGGTCAGTAAGTACTAGTCATGTAACAGAAAGTTATGTTTTTGGAATCAGAATTACCTATGTTTTTGAATGAGACAACTAATTATCGCATCGCTCTAATAAGAGATAATATATTTACCATTTATCAGTGATAAAATATAACTATGCAATTTCAGAATAAGGCAGAAATCAGGATCTGTAGATTATAATTGAAATTTTAGTATTTAATTTTTTAATTAAAAAGTAAACATTAAAAAACACTTAAATATCGATTTTTGTGTGTCACATGGTATGTTGAATGCAGCACTGGTTCAAATTAGATACTTGTGATGTCAAAATACAAAGTCTATAGTTTTGTACGAATTAAGAACTCAAATTACCGAGACTGACAAGCTAGAATATAAAATAAGAACCTCCTATCTTTTCTATTTGCTGAGATATCCCTCATGTACTGAATCAAACACAGTGGCACCCCGCTCAACTCTTTCCATTT